TGAAGGCAAGTTGAACATGAGCAAGCAGTGAGTCCTGGTAGCCAAAAGGGCCAACTGTACCCGGGGGTGGGTGAGGCCCAATGCTGCCATCAAGAGAGAGAAGAGACTGCCGCACTCTGCTCTGCACTGTGTGGCCTCACTTTGAGCACTGGATGTGGGTTTGGGCACCACAATATAAAAAGGACATAAAATGGTTTAGAGAGAATCTAAAGGAGGGCTACAAAGATGGTGAAGGGTCTGGAGATCAAGATCTAAGAGGAGCAGCTGAGGCCCCTGGGTTGGTTCAGCCCAGAGTAGAGGAGCTGAGGGGAACCCTCATGGCAGCTGCAGCTCCTCAGAGGGAACACAGCTCTGCTCTCTGTGACAGCGACAGGGCCCAAGGGAACGGCATGGAGCTGTGTCAGGGGAGAGTGAGGTAGGGGTTAGGGAAAGGCTCTGCACCAGAGGGTGGTGAACACAGCCCCAAGCTGCAGGAATTCAAGGAGCAGTTTGACACTGCTCTCAGACATAGGATTTGATTTTAAGCGGTGCTGTGCGGAGCCAGGGCTCCATGACCCTAATGAGTCCCTTTAAATTCAGGATATTCAATGATCCTGTGTTGTGCCAACATACAACCTCAATGTGTTCATCTTGCTCACTGCATTAATTTCTAAACTGGGGTTATGAGTTAGCTCAATAGTCTCTAGCACAGCACTGAAGTAGACCTGACTGGATTATTTTGGCAGCAGTACTCTCCATTCCTTTGACTGTACTGAGCATCCTCTTCCAGGCCTAGAAAACTACCTTTGCTCGCAATGTCTTGCTGGAACCACTGCAGATAGGAGGGGGATTCAGCCTGAGAAAAGCTGAGCAAAAAAGTTGGACCTGGTCTGGATGAGCTCATGAAAGGAAACATGTTTGGACAACAATCTTGGAAATGAAACCATGTCTAGGAGAGGAAAAAAAGAAGAGTGGAACAAGGTCAAGATGGGCAAGGATTATGAGGACTGCTGCAGGGAATACAGCTCTGAAAATTATTGATTGTGTGCCTGCTGGCACCACAGCACTCCTATGATGTCAAGCAGATTGATTGAACTGACTGGCCACTGAGTGCTCTTTTTATGCTTGGTGTTCGGTTTGAGAGCCTGGGGTCTGATTTGTAGAAGTAGTTAGCATTCACAGCTGCACATAAAGTCAATGGGAGCTATGCTCTGAACATACAAAGTAATGCATAACACTGAGTATTTCACTAAGGCAAACCCTAGCCATCTCAAAGCTGGCAACCCAAATTAATAGACACATTTAACCTTAATCTCTGTGTGCCTCATTTTCACAATCGGTAAAATGCTGATATTAGCTACATCTCATGAAAGTAAGTCATAAACATTCGTCATAAATATCAAAGTACTATAACTATGAAGGCTGTGGAAAAGTCCACTGTAACATTAGTAATTCCATATAACAAGCAGGATTTGGATAGCTTTAAACAAAGCCAGAGGACATATGTTAAACAAAGAGATTAAAAATAAACTGAAAAGCTGCACATACGAACAGTATCTGCCACAGTCACTATGCAAAGCATCAGTCTTCAAAGCAAAACAACATAATAATGCAACTAAAGGCTGAATTGTAACTTGTACCCTTGACAAGTTAAAACAGGTTTGCCTGAAGAATCTTAGCCTTGGATTTTTCTGAAGAATTGACATTTGGCTTTTCAACCATGTCATTCCTTTAATATGGGTTGTGAGGTTTTTCTTTTTTCTTCTTCTTTTTTTAGTGTGTGTAAAAAGCAATGTAACAAGTTAAAAATATTTGTATGTTTAAATTGATTTGTACTCTGTGTGCAGAATCATACGGGTTTTGCTGAAGTAAATGAGTGACAGGAGAATTAAAAATAGGGGAACAGTTACATTATATCAAGCTATAATACAAAGTGAATAACAATTATTTTCTTGCCTGTTGTCCTATTTGATTTTAGGAATCGTAATTGACAGCATAACATAGGTGGGGGAGTTAATATCTGTGTAAGGAACTCATTTAGCAGCTCATTTATACCTTTAATATACATTCCAGTAGCAATGACTTCTGTATCTTCTTCCTCAGAACTTTTTACCTGTCGATATTAAGAGCTCTCTCAGCAGAACCATCTTTCCATTTATATCTCATTCCATTGATAGGTCTGTTTTTCCATCTCTTTTTTTTTTTTTTTTTTTCTTCTCCAGATATCTTCCTAGAGATCAAAGACATTCTTTGCAATTAGAAAAATAAAGATTTATTGATTCATCTTACAAATGTTGTCCGTCTTGTCAAACCATACATTTAACACTGATTTTCCAGAGTAAGTGTTCTCCAGTTTCTCATTTGCAACAGCAACCAGTATTACTAAATGACACTACAGCATGGTCATTGTAGCCATTCAGCTGATAGGTATCTAAAAGAGCATAGAATAATGTTAAAACATCCATAGCAGTAGTACACACCTTACATTTCAAACTGGCATTCGTGAAGACTGAAAGGTGTCAGTCTAATAACATTATTGCAGTCAGGGCTTCATCTGCTTAAAATCACTGGATATTTCTGTTTAAAGTAAACTGCAGTCCTGAAGATTTATCTTTTATGTCTGTATCTGGTGCTTAAGCACTAGCCCAAAGTGGAATTATTTTTTATATTGTATCATTTTTGTTTTCTCTTTCTCAAAAAATGAGTTGTCATTTTTAGCTTTGTTTTTGCTGTGGGTTTTCTGTAGGATTTTGAAAGATCAGCACAGTGATGTCATAGATTGTGTGACTACATCCCAGAAATTCCTCTCCCAGTTGTCTAAGGAAGTCTGATCAAACAGCATGAGAATATTGTTTATCAACAAAGTCTATAGGATTGCTCACTAAATGTTTATTTTCACATTCTGTCTCTATGCTCTTGCCCACAGAATTTTGCTGTTTCAGCAGATGCTCCTTACTGCTAGATGCCAGCACAAAACCCAAGCCCGGAACACAGGTAAAATGCCAGCAGATGCACAGAATCATAGAATCATAAAGGTTGGAAAAGACAGCTAAGATCATCTAGTCCAACCAACTACCACCTCTTGTTCTACCACTAGTTACATGGAAGAAGACACAGGCTGAACCTCACTTCACCACAACCTCCTTTAAGGGAGTCGTAGAGGGCAATAAGGTCTTGCCTGAGCCTCCTCTTCTCCAGACTAAAGAATTCCAGCTCCCTCAGCTGCTCCTCACAAGACTTGTCCTTCAGCCCCTACACAGCTTCATTGCTCTTCTCTGGATGTGCTCCACAACCTCAATGTCTTTCTTTGTAGTGAAGGGCCTATAAATTAATACAGTTCTTGAGGTGCAGCTTCACCAGACTGAGTACAGGAGGACAACCACCTCCCTGCTCTTGCTAGCAACACTGTTTCTGATACAAACCAGGATGCTATTAGCCTTCTTGGGCTACCTGGGCACACTGCTGGCTCATGTTCAGACGAGCATCAACCAACACCCCCACAACCGTTTATTCCGCACAGTCTTCCAGCCACTCTGCCCCAGGCCAGTTGCATTGCCTCTGACTGTTGTGGCCAAAGTGCAGTACTTGGTCTTGTTGAACCTAATCCCATTGGCCTCAGCCCAGTGATCCAGCCTGTCCTAATTCCTCTGAAGGGCCTTCCTACCCCAGGAAGATTGATACTTCCTCCCAGTTTGGCGTCATCTGCAAACACTTGCCTTTTGATGTAAGTGGCAAAACCCCCTGAATGCAGCCTGCCTGATAGAACTTCCAGCTGTAAGTGCTGAAATATTATGAGTCAGGCCCCCTAATTCATGGTCCATTTTTTAAGCCTGAAAAGGAAACGGGCAATTGCTTTTTGGTTTCTGACCTGGCAAGTTGTGCATGGGTCATGGTTTCCTATTTTTCTCCCAAACCACACTGCTGTCTAAAAATGAAAGAGAAGACCATGTGATCTTATGAAGGGGAAGGGGAAAAATGAAAAAGTGCTTGACAGCCCCAACACTTCTCTCCATTGTGGCCCTGGTAGAGCATCCTCCAGACAGGAGAAAGCATACTTCTGCTGCAGTGCCAAGCAACATGAAGGGTTCCCAACAGCCATCAGGACACCCTGGGGACATATGTTGTCTGGAGAGAATGAGACTCAGTGCTGAATGAAAGCCACGCAGCCTATGCCTTGTAGGAAGCAGTTGTGTGGGGAAAATTGCATCATCAAGCAATTAGAGACTGTATCTCAAGCCACATGCAGAGGGGGTCAGACTGAGGTTCTGAGTGATCTGAATTTGGTGATTTTCCATACTTGTCTAAAGCCCCCTGTCCAGCAGAAATCAGTTTTGTCACTGGACTGTGAGAAGGGCAACCGATGAACGAGCTCTCTCACCCCTCACACGAGCACGAAGCCCCCATCGGGTGCAGAGCATTCCCCTGGGCCGCCCGGGCCCCGCCGCTGCTCCCGCGAAGCTACATCCGAGGGGATCCGCCTCGCTGCCCGCGCGAACCCGGGGTGGCCGGGGCAGGTGACCCGTGGAGGCTGGCGGCGCCCGGCGGTGCCCGCAGGGGTCGCTCGCGAGGAGGCAACGGCCGCGCGGCGGGAGCGGGGGCCGGGGCGGGCCGGGGAGGACGGCGGGGCCGGGCCGGGGTGAGCTGCGGGGGCCGCGCCGTGCGCGCGACTCGGCCGCGAGCCGCAGGCCGTCGGCGGCGAAGTGGGGGTTGTAACTTGACACCGGAGCGAGAGGCCGAGCGGAGAGAGGGAGCGAGAGAGCGGCGGCGGAGGAGGAGGAGAGGAGCCCCAGGGAGCGGGATGGTGACCACCTTCTTCCCCTCCCCTTAGTGGCGCTTCGCAGCAGCCGCCGCCGCAGCGCCGGGACTCTCGCCTGCACGGGACCGGGGGAAGCCGGCGATGGGGACGGGACGGGCCCCCTGAGTCACCGCGAACTTTCCCCGCCGCGGGCAGCCGGAGCCGAGCAGGCGGATGGAGGATGCGCCCTGCCCGGCGGGCAGCGTGAGCCGGCGGCGGGGGTAGCATGAAGAAGAAGCAGCAGCACGGCGGCGGCGGGGACTGCCCTGCGCCCCGGCCCCCCGCGGCAGTGGCGGCGGCAGGGGGCCCGAGCCAGGGCGGGGGCTGGAAGCGGCGGCGGCCCCTTTCGCTGCTGCCCTTCCTCTCTCTGCGCGACTACGGCTTCTGCATGGCCGCCCTGCTGCTCTTCTGCGTGGGCTCCCTCTTCTACCAGCTCAACGGGGGACCCCCGCACTTTCTGCTGGACCTGCGGCACTATCTGGGTAAGCGCGGCCCGCGGCAGCGCGGCCACTTGTTGCGGTTCTCCGCGTTCCTCTCCCGGCCCGGCTGCTCGGCGGAGCTCCGGGGGCTGCGCGGGGAGCGCCGCCGGCGGCGGCGGCGGCGGCTCTGCCCCCCATCGCCGCACGTCCGAAGGGGCAGCTCGCAGGCGGCTCTCGGGAGGAGGGTGGCGGGAGCGGGTTCTCTCCCGAGTTAACGTAAGATAGAGCTCCTTTGAGGCTCTTCCCTTAAATCCGGAACGGCTTTGTGGCTGGGGATGCCCCTTTGTTTGCCCGCCGGCGGTACGCATCTCCGGCTGTGGGAGCCGCGCGAGCTCTGTTCCGAGCTGCGGAGCCGGGACGGGCGCTGCGCGCAGTGCCCGGGGGTTACAAACGAGGAAGTCCGGGCGTAGAGCGACCTGCGAGCGGCTGCCGCGCTCAGGTGTGTGCGGGAGCGGTCGGACAGAAACCGAATGACACATGGCACCGGGGTTTCGCTACGTGCCCGATTTCTGCCTTGCTGAGGGTTACTTCCCTGCCTGACGGGGAAGTGGTGGAAAGCAGTGTGATTCCTCGAGGTCAGGTCAATACAGAGGGTGATTCCTCGAGGTCAGGTCAGTACCGATCAGTGGCCGGGCTCGTTCAAACAGGGAAAAAAAACCGAGGGGTTTTCCGGATGGGAGGATTACTAGGGTAGTTTGCAGTGTGAGTTTATACCGCGTTAGCTCCTCTGTATTGATTGTCCGCGAAGGCAGTCCGTAATAGACGAGGTTACTTTGCAACCAAATTGCAAAGTAAAGCGCGGCACTTGTATTTCAGAAGTGTAAGCTGAAAATCCATTAGTCTGCATGTGTTTTATGAACGTCCTGGGAGCGCAGCTGTGTGTGCGAACTCTGCTTTTCTTTAAGGGAAAAGGAGCCCAGCAGTCAGTCACCAGCTGATGGCATGGCAAAGCCAAGCACCTCTTGGGAGTGCAGCAATGGGACAAGAGGCAACAGACATATGTTGCAACACAGCAAATGTTGATGAGATAGGTATTGGGGAAAAAAATGCAATGTGAGGGAGACCAGTGAGGTCTGCCTGTCCTGCCAGAGTTCCAGTAGCTGAAATCCTGGGCACCTCAGGTCAGGTTGTCTCTGTTTTGTCAGAGGGACACGTGAACAGGAATCTCTTCCAGTCCATCCTCTGCTGTTCTACTCAAAGTGGATAAAAACATGAACGGAGGTTCAAGTCAGAACAGGAGAAGGAGCACTTTGAATGTTGCTTCCCAAACACAACAGAGTATTGCCATTTTGGCTTGGGTTTTACTGCCTGCCTTTTTCTTAATTTAGTGTTGGTTATGAAGAAATTCCTACACTACAGAGGAAATAGACAAATTTTCCACCAAGGTGTAAGTAGGTATTCCATACAATTGCTTGATGTTTTATTTGGATCGAATACAGATACTTATTTTTCAAAGCAAGGTTGGTCCCAATTTTTTGAATTTTATCTTCATCAAGGATGAACGCTACTGTGCACAAATAGTTTGCGAGGAGCGCACTGTTAGACAGCTTCTCAGTTTGTGGTCTTGAGGGATCCAGGCTGTAAAAGTGGGATCTGCTGCATGAAGAACTGTAGCTGTCTCTGCTGGAAAGCATCCTGAGGCCTGCGGGTGGCCAGTTTGGAAGACACTGGGACTTGACCATTTATTGGGAGGAGCTCCTCAGGTGCTTAAAAGCTCTTATTGTATGTGCCTAAATGTGAGGAACTACTGGGGAAGGAGGTGGTATTCTTTGGAAAATGAATTTTTAATGGTTAAGACATTTGAGCATTATTTTCTAAAGCTATTTTACACTTCCCAGCTATACTGCTGCATTTGGATCGACAAAGAGGATCATATCGTTGACACTGTTTAAGATTTTCTTTTTCCACTTAGTGTAGGTTTTGCAAGAACAGTGCTATACTCCTTGGTTTATCCAACTGGCAAAGTTTGTAATTTATCAACCTTATATTTGTAACCAGTTAGGCTTGTTGCCTTCTGGGGGACTAACAGAAGAACTTGGAGGAATAGGCAGTACACACCTGGTCGTGCTAACCACCAAACTCTAAATATGTGGGTTTTATACAAGAGCTTGACTAGTCATGTCTTATGACATTAAAGAAGATGAAATGTTTTTTCCTCCTGAAGCCACGGATCCAATGAACAAGCAACTCTTTCCTTCCAGTACTTCCAAGCCACAATTTATGGTGTGAAGATTTAAGTCCCCTAACAGAAAGAAACAGTTTGCAAACTGTGTTTGCAGTACATGAATCTTTCAACTGTCTTTAAAGCTACAAGAACCAAGAAAGAATTGACCAAGGGGAAAATTTATTTACTTGTTTAATTATTTTGCAGCCTTCATAGTGTAGGGGGTCATCTTGTCTGGCTTTTTTTAATTTGCATTGCAAGTTTCAGTGCGCTGTTCACTGTTCACTGTTAGTTATGTTACTCTGCAGGGAATGCTTGTTTCTTGCCTCAGAACTTGAAATTACAGAATCACAGAATGGTGTGAGTTGGAAGGGACCCTTAAAGGTTGTGTGGTACACCCCCCCCTGCAATGAACAGGTATATCTATAACTTGATTTTTGTGGCCCTCCTCTGGACATGCTCCAGCAGGTCTCCATGTCATTGATCTCCATCTGGACACTGAGCCATTTATCACCACTTTCTAGGTATGATCTTGCAACCAGTTCCTTGTCCATTGAACAATCCATCCATCAAGCCCATATCTTTCCAGTATGGAGGGAATGGTGTTATGAGGAATCGTGTCAGAGGCCTCACTCCATTCCACATAGAATGACATCACTGGTGCTTCCATTGTTCATTGACGCAAGGCCATAAGTTGGCTATGGGACCTACCCTTGGTGAAGCCATGCTATTATTGCATATCACCTCCCTCTATTCTGTGTGCCTTAGCATAGCTCCCAGGAGGATCTGCTCCATGATTTTTCTCAGCACAGAGATTTCTCCTTACAGGCTGTCCATTGTTAGTAGCCTGCCTGCATTGTAACAACACGAAATTTCAATAGCAATCAGGATGGAAGTCACACTTGCATTGGACCAGAGTGTGATTTAAGGAAAATGTAGGCAGAGCAAAAACAGTGAGCTTGAACAGCTTTCGTTTTGTTCTTATCTTTCATTTTGTTCTGTATAAGCTGAGAGGAGAAGGAATTAGTTTGTTTTCAAATGAATTAAGTGAAGATTTGCTAATTCTCTAAACTTTCCTTTAGTGGGGCAGAATGTGTTTGGGAGGCAGATGACTGTATTTTTAGAATACTCTATCTACTAGTAATTCTTGTCCTCCTGGACCAACTTCACTGGTGTTTTGTCCATATCTGTCTCCCTTTGTGCATTGTTGTACTGACTGGGATGGTTGGAAAAATGTGATGGCAGCTTGCGTGGGGAAGCAAGTAGCTGTATTCAGTATTTCCACTTTGCATTGCCGTCTTTTCTCTTTAGTAAGAGTCTAGAAGAGTCATATGGGGAAAATGGGGGAGATCGGAAGACAGGAGTCTGTAGTGCTTTATTTATCCTGTTCTGAACTCAAGCTCATAGCAGTTCTAATAGGAGAGAGGGCCTGTGGAACGCTGCCGGTTTCTGCTGTCCTTGCTGGCTGTGGTTCACAAGAACAGGGTCAAGTTTCATGCTTTAGCTGTGCCACTGGGAGAGATGTAGAGTGCTGGTTTTCAGTGTATCATCTGTGGGGGCTTGGGTGTTAGTGGGTTATTTCTGAAGAATCTTTGGAAGAGACTTCATAAAAGCAAGTCTGTTGCCAGTAGGTTTAAACTTACTGTGTCAGGGTGTGTACCAGTCCTGGACCCTCTATGGGCTCCAAAAAATAAGAAAGTTTAAAAACAGCTAGGCTTTTCACTAATAAACTGGAGTATTGGGACTTACACAACATCTATGAGGTCTTGCTTGCTGATTCTGCCAAGGTAACTCTGGCTTGCTATTCTAAACACAGCGCCAGGAAAGAGGAGAATCTTCTGCAAGATGTGTAGGACAGAGCTTGTTGATCTTGGACAATCACGTGGCTTTGGGGAAGGCACCAGGGACTCCTTTCCCCTGGAACTGCCATCTTTTTGCACTGCTGTAGTCTTCCCAGCTTTGGCTTGTGATACAGACATGCTTGAAAATACAGAAATGAGTATTTCCAAGGGCTGGAAGCAGCCCTCTCATGGCCAATAAAAAGAAAAAGCCTTTTGATCTTCAGTATTTGCAGTGCAGAAGTTGTTGTTGTTCATGTCAATTAAATCATTTCCCCTGTTGAACTCCCCAGGAGACTGCCAACAAGTCCACTGGTTGATGTCAGGGTTTGATTGCCTATGGAAATGACCTGTGCTGAGCACTTCCCATGTGAGACAGAGTGTCCAGTTGCGTTCTTTAAACAAGCTCTGAATTGCTCCCCACTCTCACCCTTCAGTCAGTTGTGCTCAAGTGTTTTGGTCAAGAGATGTGCATTGTAGGCTTAAAGTTGTCACAAGAGGAGTTATGTTTATATTTTGGATACAATATAATTCTTCCAAATGGAAGCAGCGGAAGGGGATATCTTTCTGAGTGTTTGAGGACACTGAAGCAGAAATCTTATTCTAAACTAAGCCCAAATTAAAAAAAATAAATAAATAAAAAAATCATTGAAGTGGTATGAATTGGCTTTATTATTATTATTATTATTATTATTATTATTATAATGTAGGGTTTGGTTATTTACTTATTTATTGTGTCTTCCTTTTTCCTGTCCACATGTAAAGAGAGGAGCAAGAGAAACAGTAGAAGTGGCTGACAGTATGTGTTTAATACAAGTTTTGTTTCTAACCTCTAGGAGGGGGAAGAAAAAAGTGTTACTTTTTTTTTCCTTTTCTAGTAATATTTCATTTATTTCTCAATGATGGAAAGCTCAGAATTTAGCTCAGAATGATGGAAGTGTTCAGAATAAGCAAGCTTTCTTAGAGTTAAAGCGCATAGCATACTGGATTGTAAGTAGAGT